CATATAAATAATATAATCTAGATATTGGTTTTCTATTTGATTTATTATATTTTTTAACATGACACCCATAAACAATTAAATTTACTGCAGCACTTAATGTTCTCTAATCAAACTCTTATCTATCAAATTTTGATGCAGAACTCTTACGTCCTTTCATTGTTACTAACATCTTAATAAATTAATATAATTCAAATTATGTCAAATTTAACTTTCTCAGGAATGAGAACTCTTAAAGCAAGAGTTAATGAAGAAGATCAAAATAAAAAGAGACATCCCTTTGATCTTCAAAAATATCACCACATTTTAGATTAAATCTCAACTACACATTAATTTGATATGGATCTAGAAAACAGATTCAATTAATTAGATTAAACTGAATAATCTAGACCCACTATTGATAAGAGTTCATTTTTAAATAAATAATATGCAAAATATATAGAAAAGGGATCAGATTTATAATTGTCCAAAGTTGATTGTATAGATCCAGAGGATGATGTTTGCACTCATAAACAAACCAAATCATTATTAAGTTTGATAAAAGGAAGACCTATCAAATTTAAAGAGTTCTATAAAATATTATTATAAGAATATTAAATTGAATTTCAAAATGAAGAGTAAAAATTATAATTTAAAGAAAATTTAAAAAATAAAATTGTTACTGTTGATCTCAATATTGTTTCATTAAATGCTCTTCAATTATGTACTAGAGATAAAGGAATAAAGGGATTAATTTAAGAAATAGCAGAAGAAACATATTAAGATATGAATAGAAAGGAAAAATAAAAAATAAACAATGAAATTGTAGATGAATTAGAAAATGTTAAATAATTATTAGAGAAAAAATAATTAATGCAAATAAAAAAAGAAAAAGAATTAGTAGAATATGAATATTCATTATAAAAATTTAAATCTGAAATGTCTAATAGTATATAATAGGTTTATGATATTTTAAGTAAAATGATGGAAGAATAATATTAATAAAAATTAAGTAATTTAAATAAAAAGTTTAGTAATATGGAATATCAATTAAAATCCAAAGTAAAATTAATTGAACTTAAAGGTTCATCAATTTAAAAGAATAATTCTACCTATAGTTAAGAAATTTAAAGATTAAAATAAAGAAATGCTATATTAGAAAAATAAGTAGAATCTTAGAAAATTATAATATTAGAATTAGAAAAGAAGCTCTCTTTAGAAAAAGATAATACAATTTAAATGTAAAAAAAATTAGAAAAAATAAATTAAAAATTATTAGAATAAAAAGAATAAATTAAGGAATAAATAAATTAAACTGAATAAAATGAATCTGTATAATCTTTAAAATAATAATAAATATAAGAATAATCTAAATTATAAGGAGAATAATAAAAAAAAATACAAAATAATTAAGATAATTCAAATAAATAAATTAAAGTATTTTAAAGTGTTTTTGAATCAATATTTCTAGGATTAGATTAATTACAAATATAATTAAATATTGATAATAACAAGTGGAATCAAGAACTATTACCTTGTTGTTTATAGGATAATTTAATAGATTTATTAGGGAATCTTATGATAATAGTAATTAATAAATAAGGGTTCTAATAAATTTATAAATTATTATTATAACTATCTTACTTTTATTTTAAGAATACTTGTTCCTCAATTAATTGTTAATAAATTGAAGAACTCATAAAAAATTAAAAAAAATAACAAAATTGTAAATATTACATTGGGATTCATGAATCAAAAAATAAAGAATTTATATTGTAATTAAAAGCATTATTAGAAAAGAAAAAGAAAAATTAAACTTTAGTAGCTTTCATATTACTATTGTATGATCGGGATATATCAATTTCAATAAAATATCTTTCTTAAGAAATTGTATATATATATATATTTATAGTATTATAGTGTAATGAGGATGTTCAGAAATTAATTTTAGATAATGGATTATTGGATGTCTTTGTAATAAAGATGATTGATGATAGAAATATGGTTTAACTACTATTAGAAATAATTGCATAAGGCTAATTCTAGAATTAGTTTTTGTAATAATTGACTAAACACTTTGAAATTTTGTTAACTTTATTAAATTGTTAAGATTTAGAATTTTGTGAATAATTATCTATAGTTTTATAGAGAGTGTAATATTATAGCAAATAAACTATTCATAATAATTTTAGAGGATTAATTGAAAAAAAAATGAATTGTGATTCGAAATTTGAGTTGTTGAAATAAAATTTATAATTTATATTATAATGAATTAAGATGTTAATAATGTTGCATATGGTTAAGGTTATTTAATCAATAACAAAAATGAATAAGTAATACAAATAAATAAAACATATGATTCATTTGTTCAATACGAATAAGCTAGAAGTGAAACATAAAAGAGAACATAAATTTCAGATCCAACCATTTGCAGATTAGTAAAATTTACAACAAGTGAATAAAAATCATTTTGTGGTCAACTATTCGGAATATCATTGTAATATTAATATACTGAAAAATGTATTGGAGAGATAAAGAAATTCAGTCAGTTTGATTGTTTATAGATAATTAAAGATGTAACATAGGCATTATTGATTTTTATATCAAAAAGAATAAGACATGGTCAATTAAGTCCTTAAACAATATTAGCAACTTAAAATAATAGATATTAATTAACAGATATTCGATTTATAACTGATATGTATGAATACAAGATGCAGTTAATTGGATTTACAAATTAATGTTATTTGGCTCCATTTCTAGTCTATGAATTGGGAAAGAGGACTATGAATCCCATATACAATTATGAGAAATCAGAAGTATTAAATTTACTTATTTAAGGTTTTTTCTTTAGGTATTGTAATCCTGGAATTAGCACTTTAATAATCTGTCTAATCTATTTATGATTTATCTAAATTCTTAGTATCATAAGATGTTATCAATACATATTTGAGAGTATTATCACAATAGTTTTAGCCTTCATTTGTTGATTTATTAAGTAAGATGTTACAAGTAGATGAAGAATAAAGAATTGATCTATATTAATTAGAAAAAATGTTAGGTCAAAAATAGAATTTAAATATGACTACAAATTCATTAAACACTCGTACTCAAATTGATAAATTTGTAAATAATTCTAGTAGTACTTTGAATAATAATAAATATCAAACTTAGAGTCCTTCTCCATCTTAAGCTTATATCAATAAATAACATACTTAACATATTTAAAATTCATATAATACAAATAATTACAGTACCACTTATTTAGAGAGAAATCAATAAGAATAAACAACACCGTAAAATCAAATGACTTTCTATGCTCCATAGAGACAATAATATAATACTTAATCTAATTACCATTCAAAAGCTCCTACATAATTGAATTCATCATAATTATATGAGAGATCTAGAAAATAAAGTCCTGAAACTGTAGATTCATATAGATTTAGTGATAATAGAAGAATAAAAACAGAATATGATTATCAAATTTCCAATAATATTCATTAACATAGTTCAAATAGCTTCATATCTCCAGAAAGGAAATAAGATAATTAATTGGATTAACTATTTAATTAATTTGGAGAGAAGTTGTAAAAAGTTAAATAAAAAATTCATCATCTAAGAATAAATACTCCTACTTCTTAGAGTTAATCATTTATTAATTAATCTTATCACTCATAATTTATTGAATCTGTAGATGAATTTCCAACTTTCAAACCAGATTCTATTCCTGATAAAATTGATATTGCTATGAATTAATAATAAATTTAAAAAGAGTTTCATAATTTTTAATCTAAGAATTATAATTTTAGAGCATTAGAAAGACCAAATTATTATCCAAATTCATATTATGATGATATGCAAGGAGATGCCAGTTTACCAACCTCAGGAACTATACATATGCATAGTAGTGGACCAGCCACACTTAGTGATTTTTTTTTGAAAAAAAAATGATAGTATTCTTATTGATTATTGTAATATAAATGTAAATTAGGTCAATTCCATATTTTTTTGAATACTTACAAATAAGAGTATTTAATTTGGTTAGGCTAAATTAATATTATTATAATATTTTACATTATTGATATAATAATAATTTATTATTCCCATAGCAATTCCAAAAATAAAATATTCCCAATAGTCGATTTTCATTACAAAATTTCTTTTCTGTAACATATGCCATACAGTTTCTAAAAATTTAGGTGCTAAAAAGATAGTTATTTCAGCTCTTCTATTTAATTTTTCTGCAAAAAGAAAAACACCTGAAAACAATCCAGAAAGACTTAAGGATATTCCTTTTAAATCTAATAGAAATAATTACTATTATTAAATTCCATAGTTCTCAATATACAGAAAACATATTTGCAAGCTGAAATGTATCCTGCAACAAAAAATACAGAACCACAAAATTCCAAAAGAAATTATTTCAAAGTTTTGCCAGGACTATTTAAATTATTTGATAAAAGATTACTTCTGTCTTAGTTTCTTTCTTTGAAATAATAAAAGGGGTATTAAATGAATAGGGATATAATATTTATATGAATTATTCCAAATTTTTACAAACCTTAGCACAGCATCAACCAAGCATGATCCATCATGCATATCTTCACATTTTAGTAATCCCCCATTGATTATATGTCTTTGTTATTCTTCACTCATTGGAATGTCCTAGAAACATGTTATGAGATTTTACTCCAATTGACTTAAGCATTGATGTAAAATTATTAATATAATAATATATAACTTCATAACTTTTTTTTATTTATCGTATATATTTTATAAATTAACAAAAGATTATTCACTCAAAAACTAATTAAAATAATCTATCCTTCTTAATATATTCAGTTAATATTTATTTATTTAAAATGACTCAATTCAAATTAAATATTATATAAAGAGATGAATAAAATAATCCTTAACTTTATTTTAATTTTATGTTCCAATATGATGAGATTTATTTAGATCTAGCAATAAAAACATGATAATAATGATGGAAGAATAAAAAAGATTTATTTTTATAAATTTCATTTTTTTTTTTTATTGTTTTCTTTTTCAACTTATTCAATAATTATTTTATTCTATTCTTCTATCTTTTAAAATAATTGTTATGAAGTTCCAAAGACTTATTATTATATATATTCTTCAAATTCATTTGGTTTTTTCTATTCATTATCTTATTAAGCAATTTACTCTTAATTTTCTTACTATTCATCTTCTATATCTTAATTTTCTTTTTCTAATTTATTTCTTCTTTTAGCATATTTTTCTTCCTCTTCTGAATCAACATCTGCATATTATTTATTCTAAATTAAGAAATTCAAATACATTTTAAGGTATAAAATTTGCTTAAGATAATGGAGGTACAAAAGTTGGAATATCCAAAACAACATTATAAATAATATCTAATCCATCATCGGATAATGCTTTAAAATAGAATAAATCATAATGAGCAATATAATCATTAAGCCAAGTTAAAAGAGTTCTAACTTCTAAGGAATTTAATTCATTTTTGTGGAAAATTAATAATCTTTAGAATTCTTTGATATCATCAGCTTAATTCTTTTCTTAAAAACATTATTTGATATATTTAGCATTTCTGTAAAAAAAGAGATGTAAGAGCATATTAACAATTAATTCTTTTTTCTCACTAAATTCTTTAACAAATGAAACTTATGTCAAAGCATATTCATTCATAATTTGAATATCTACAGGTCTTAATTTTTAAAAGGAATCTAATCATAGATTTTATAATTCTACCTTCATATTTTAGATATTTAATTAAACAATCTCTAATGGATGATATATGATTTTATGTAAGAATTGATTCAGAAATTATTATTCTGATACCAGAAGGTAAAGCTTAGATTTCAATTTTTCTTGAAGATTTGTGCGATGATTCTGTCATTTTCCTTCCTATTTTTCTTTGAGTTGGTGTTTACTAATTTGAACGAGGTGAAAACATAAAAACAATTTATTTTATAATTTAATTACTAAATATATAAGAGCAGAATGGAAAATTATAATCACTTGACCTTGTAAAATGTTTTCATTCTAGTATCATTATAATAGGGTATATTTATTTAATTATTTTGGCCATAATCTACAGACTTCTATCTTGTAGATTCATGTCCATTTGTTCCAAATCTACATTAATAATCACTAATTCCTCTAGGTCTAACTGATGGAGTTATAATTTTTCCATAATTTGGATCTCTTACAGTTTAATTCAAATCTAATTTAAAATTGTCAAGTTATGGTCTTTTAGAATCTACAGAATGGATTTTTGGTGATTAATTTAAAGTCGTAGTTTATTGAGAATGCAGAGAATTATTATTATAACGACTTCTAAGATTTATAGGAGATTCATCTTGAAGCTTTGGTCTAATAACTGGTAAAGGTTTATTATTCTATTTAGTGCCATAATCGGAAGTAGAAGCGTGTTTAGGTGGAAGTGGAATAGGAGTAAATATTTCAGATCCAATATCTAGTATTGTAAAGAGTAAAATAATTACCAGCAAAAGATTTTCCTCCATTCATAATATGTTTCTTTAATAATAAATAATAAATTGTTGTCACTTAATTATGTCTATTGCCTTCCACACATTTTTCAATGTAATCTTATGCATAACCCATCTTAACTAATTACTTAAGTATATCAAAATCTAATGGTATTTTATGAAGTCCAACAATAACTCCAATTTATAATGGAGCCTTGTAATTATTAGTCATCCAAGGATGTCTTCTAATATCTGTAATTGTGTATCTTTTTAGAGGATCAGTTTATAAAATACCAGCAATTAAATTCTTGGCAGGTAATGAAACTGTATTTGGACATTTATATTCACCTGCCAATATTTTCTTATACAATAAATTTGTATTTGCTTCTTCAAATGGTAAATGTCCAGCTAACATGGCAAATAAGATAACGCCAGCACTCCAAATATCAGAAGTTAAACCATTGTATTTTTTACCAGCTATCATTTCAGGTGCTGCATAACAAGGTGATCCACATGCTGTTTTTAATAATTCATCATTTGTATATAAATTAGAGAGTCCAAAATCAATAATTTTGACTCTTAATTTATTCTCTAACATTAGATTCTCAGGTTTCAAATCTCTATGAACTATCTTCAATTTATGCATATACTCTATTCCTTAAATTAATTAAGCGAATAGTTTAGCAGCTTCAGCATCTCTTAGTCTTTAATTCTATACAATATGATCAAAAAGTTCTCCACCATTGATATATTCCATAACTAGAAAAAGTTATTTCTAAGTTTCTATTATCTTAGTATAATTGCATAGTACTTCATATAATTAAACTAAATTAGGATGTCTGATTTATTTTAAAATTTGAATTTCTCTTGTCACTCTCTCAATATCAGAGGCATCAATAATTTTACTCTTTTCTAAAATCTTTATTGCCACTTTTTCTTAAGTAGTTTGATGAGTTGCCAACTTAACTTTTCCAAAAGTACCTTCTCCTAATGTTTTACCTAAATTATTAGTAGAAAATGAATACCAAAAATATATTATCCGATTGATTATTATTTATTCATTATAATAATGTTTAATTCTAATGAAAATGTACTCGAAGAAAGACTTCCATAAAATTACATAGATGTTAAACTAACATTATGGAGAAAATCATCAACAATCCAAGACTTTAAATAATATTCATTTTTTAACACTATTCACATTTATAATGATAGATTATTGATATGCTATTCACAAAAGACAGAATTGCATGGAGTCTATATAAATAGAGAGAAATTTACAATAGAAGAACATTTTGTATTTTAGGGAGAGTAATTTGACTATCAATTTGTACATCCTTAAACTTATTTTACAAAAAATTGCATATGGTTCATATCTTACAATAGAGCTACCTAATAATAAATATTTTATGCTGATTTACCAACTAAAACAATATTATCTATTAAAAGTGAATATAAACCACAATTTAGAATTAATTTCTCATTTACTTAAATAGCAGATTTATCATTTTATATATTTGGTGGTTTAGATGAATAAATGAGACTTTCAAATTAATTAGATTTCTTTTAAGTTACTTAATGTGATTTTACACCAGTCAATTTTAAAGGATAACCTCCATCACCAAGACATAGTCATCTAGCATTTGTTAATAGCAATAAATTAATCATAGCAGGTGGTTCATAATCAACTAATTTATTTGAAAGAACATGCTTATAAGACATGTATTCATTAGATTTAAAAACCTTTACATGGAGTCAAGTTAAAACAAATATACCAAAATCAATTGCTTTTGGTCAATAAGTTTCACTTAATTAAAATTAATTAATATATTTTGCAGAAGAGAATGGATAAATTACTCATTATCTTTTATCATTTACAGATAATTAATGGTCATGTATGAGATCTTAAAAGGAAGTGTAATGAATTAATTTTATTTTATAGACCATCATATAAATATAGAGCATGTGCTTGTTTGGATATTAAAAATAATCAAATTTTATTATTTGGTGGATATAATTTTCAAAAGAATACTATGAATTGTAATGTTATTGAAAGATTGTAAATTATTACCAAAGTAATTATTATTAATATAAATTTTAGGATTTCAAAGAATAAACCTTATTAGATTATAATGGAGATATAATTAACATTAGTAAATTTGAAAAATAATTATAATAATAATAACAAAATCTGTTATTTTAAGAAGACAATAAAGACAATGATTAATAAGAAGAACTGACTTTTGAAGAATTATTGGAATAAGAGAAACAATTGCAATAACTCCAACTTGATGAAATTAAATAGGAAACCAAAAAATCTAATAAGAAAAACAATAAAAAGAAAAATAAATATAAATCTAAAAATTGATTATAATGCATTTATGTGATTTTTTTATAGAATGTGCATAAATAGAACAGAAAATAGAGCAAAACCGATAATTCTTAATCTAACTACCCACTTTCCATCCTTATAAAGCATTTATTGAATTATAGGATGGAAATAACAAAATTACAACTACCTCATTATCATCTTATCTAAAGAGTTAAGGATTATTATGTACAGAATAAGAATGTTCTATTTTTATTTAAAAACCATTCAAATATGTTGATTTTTTAAGAACAATACTCCCAACAGATTAAACTTTAAGAAAAGTAATATCAATCTAAGAACCTAAATAATAATTATCACCTGAAACATAATTGGCATTAGCCAGACATTTAAATTTATAAATAGATCTAATGAATTCTTTGAAAACATCTAAAAATGTATTTTTTGAAGGAACTATTTAAGATGTTTAGAAATATTTTAAAGATAATTTAGCATATATAAGTGATAAGGAATTAGAATAAATATCTAGACTATTAGATTAATAAGGTGAAGGAATAATAAGTACTTAATAATTTATAAAAAAGAAAAATGAAGAATATGATTTTACATTCTCTACACCAAAATAAGTAAAAAACAATTTATAATCAATGACAACTTAAAAAAAGAAGGAATAAAAATTGACATATAATGGTAGAAGCAATAAAAAACCTATTCAAGATTTAAATAATAGAGATGATAATTATTTATCAATTGAATCTCCTTTAATTCCTTTGGTAGCACTTATGAGAAGAGAAATTAAGTTGAATTCACTTAAGAAAAGACTTTTAAGTTAGAAAACATTTAATTTTTTGGATGCTTTTAAGGCTTTAGATCAAAATTCAAATGGTTATATAACAATGCAAGATTATGATAAATTTTTAGATCAATAATAAGGAAGTTCAAAATATTTATTTTAATAAAAAAAAGAATTATAATTTAGTGATTTTTTAAATTTAATGATGCTTAATGAAAATATCTAAATATCTAATAAATTATTTGTAGATAAACCTATAGAAGAGATTTTTTCTAATTAAACTTTGTAATTATTTAAAGAATATCTTGAGTTACTTTAAACACCACCTCCTAAATTAAATGGTTCTAAAGATCTCTTTAAATTAATTGATTCGGTTACAAGAGATAATTATATTAGTTCAACTGATGTATTTCAATTATATTTATTAAATTAGCTTTAATAATATCTTTATATGAATGGTCTTCGATATACTGCTTCTGAAGTAAGTCTACTTATAAATAGGTATGATCATAATAGAGATGGAAAACTATGTTTCTTTGAATTTTAAGACTTATGATTCAAAAATATATTATTATTAAAAATAATGTTATCCATTATTAAATTTTAATATTCAAGAAGAAAAGAACATTTAGAGTAATTTGAAAAAGAAGAAGCTGCAAGATTAAGAGAGAGATACTAATAAACTAAAGTACAATACTCTGTTGTCTCAGATTTTATAAAAATCATAAAATGGAAGGCTTTGAAATATGCAATCATTTCATTTGGAATATATTTTACATATTAAATGTATGATACAGCAGATATATACTTTGATAATAAAATAAGGATTTTACCATTAAAATAATAATATGAGTTATCTTTGGCAAATACTACTATAAATCTATTGAAATTAGAAAAAAACTTAGAAAGAGATAATGAATTAGCTGAGAAAGTTAAACCTTATTCTTTATATGTATTAGATGAAAATTATCCAATTTTTAATTTGCTTCCTAATGATGTTTTAATAGCCAATAAGAAATTGTTGAGATAAATTAATACTTAATAAATTTAATAGTTAATTTAATTTTGTAAAACTCATAATGAATAGAGAACATCATGTAATTTATTAGATTTAAAGTATATACCAACATTAACTTTTATGAAAATAAAAAGTTTTATGAATATAAAAAAGATGAATTAAATTATTTTAGCTAGAGAATATTTCTTTTTACCTGTTCCAGAAGAATTTGAAATAAAAAATGAAGATATTAAACACTTAATGAGATAATATAAAAATGTTGAATAGGGACCTCTTTCATTTATTTTATAACATTAATATATTTTATGAATATAAATTAATAATAATATTATTCAGCATTCATCATATAACAATGGTGGAGAAGAAAAATGACTAAGAAATAACTTAGTAGAATTAAAATTTATTATACTTCCATAACAGGTTAAAGTAATAAGATTAAGACAAGTTAAACTAAAACATTTTTGATTTTAGAATAGAAATTATGGCCTTTATAAAAAATTGATGTTGCCTCTGATAAAAAGAGTGTATAATTTGTTTAGGCTTTTAAAGAATATGGTTATGAATTACCTTTGATTTTTATTGATGATATGTATATTGGTGATGGAGATAAATTATAAGAATTAGAAGATAATGGATTTTTAGATGAAATATATGATTAATAATATCTTGAAAGATGTTTATTATGTAATATGGATAGAAAGAGTGAAGATTAAAAGCACTGTAGCGATTGTAAATAAAATTTTTTATTTTTTCGAGTGATTTGATTTAATATTAATCAATATTCATTATTTACTTAATTTTTTTATTCTATAGTATTTATAGATAAAGTAGTAATTACTCAATGCAACAAGTTAAATTATTGATAAATTGACAATCAAATGTTCAAATACATCTCTGTTTCCAAATATGAATAACAATGAAGATATAGCAAAACATAGTGAATAGATAATATAAATAGTATCTACCATATATATCAAAGATGAAAATTCAAAGCATAAAAAGGAAACAATTGAAGAGGTTAAACCTGATGCACAAAACCCCAACATGGCAGCAAACAATTAAAAAAAAAAGTAAATATTAGTTCTATAACTTATTACTACCCAACTAAAAATAAAACTAAATTATAAGATAGTCAATGTAAAGATCATCCATACTATTTTATCTTTAAAATCTCCAAATATTCCTATAGCAAAACATCCAAGAACATAACCTAATCCAACATAAAAGAAAATAAATTCAATTTCAAATGAACTACTACTATCTTCTTTTTATGCTAAAAACATAATATAATTAAGCATCTATATATATATAAAGCCTTCAAGTAATGCTACTGTTAATACTAAAGGTAATAAATAAAGAGCATTTCTTTTCCATAATTCTAATGAAGTGTATTTTATACATTCTAAATATGATTTATTTTAATAAACATTAAATTCTTCTTTTTCAATTATCATACTTAAATTACTTGAATCTAATGAAAAACATTAAATTGTCATATTATTCATTATTTATTTTAGTTCCTCTTCAGATTTAGCTTTTTATTATTGATTTAAACTATCAACTTATATTCCACTCATAATTAATTATCTTAAAGTATTTACCTTATCCACTTATTAACTTGTTTTTATTTCAATCAAACTTAGAATTTATTCTTTAGTCCTTCTTAATCTTGGATGATTTGGTTCAAATGTTGTTAAAAATAATAAACTTAGAACTAATTATACAATAGATATATAAAATAATCTGCCAATTGCCTCAATTGTTGCTCTACTAAAAATTTCTGCAAAAAAGCTACCTAATATCCATTAAAAGCTATGTCTAAATATAAATATATATAAATTACATAAAATACAATGAACAATAATACAATATTTTCTCATCTCCAAAAGATAAGTTAGATAAATAATAAAGCATTCCAAATAAAAATATTACTGATAATATCCCAGAAAAAATCGAACAAACTATACCAATTAAATATATTGCCCAATCAGGACAATTAGAACTTGAAGCCAAAATTGCAGGTAAAATAAAAATTTAAGGTCCTAATGATCCTACCATCAATATAATTCTAAAAGTAATAAAATTTATTATCTTTGGTAATTAAGCTAATCCTATAAAAGCAACTGTTTAATAACAAAACCACATCAAATTACCTAAATTGTTTTTATCACCTGGAAACCTTTAAGCAAATATGTCCTATTAACACATTTTTCCAGCAATGTTAAATGATATAAAAAATACATATATCAATAAGGCATGTAAAGCCAAAGGAAAGTTCTTATCTGAAGTTGTATATTCTGATTTCCTAATATGAGATTTGAACTCCCTATATTATTACATTAAAAAAATATTTAATGTAAATTTTATCTGATCTACAATATCTCTAAGATAAGTTTTCACAATAATCCTTATAGATTCGATAGCTATTCACAGAAATTTAACAAGCTTAATAGACATTATCATCTTTAAGAAAACCTGTTGGGTAATTGAGATAAAGCAAATCAACTATTATTTTACATTCTACTTATTAAGATTCAAATTAGAGTCCTAACAAAATCGTTAGGAATGCTTCATTAAAATAAGAAGATTTCATTGAATAATGTTTAAAAAAAATTGAATAAGCCAATAAAACTAGTAATACAAATACACCATCTCCTCAATAACCAAAATAAGCCAATAGAATAAAGGGAAGATTAGAAAAACATATCCCAGAAATGAAAACTTAAGATGAATAAATTCCATTGCCTACAACTAGTTTACAATCTATTTTCTAAGCAAGCAATAGTCCTCAACAAAAATTATCCAAACTTATGCAACTCGATGACTTTAAGATTACAACCAAATAATAAAAATAAGAATATTTTGATATCCATGAAGAAGGATAATTATAAAATTGAAAATATTCAACTTTCCATTATTTCATAGTACAACTATTCAAATTCTAGTTTAATAATTAGTAAATGTACTTTCATCTTGTTGTCTTTTATATTTCTATTCCAACAACTCAAAAAATCCAATATATTCAGATTTATCAGCATCTGGAGTCCATGTATCTACTAATTCAAATAAAGAATCAAATAAATCTGCTTTTGTCATAAAACCATTTCCTTTTGAATCATGCTCCCTTTATAATAAATAAATTATACCAATCCTCAAGCAATAAAAATTTCAACTCCTCCCTATCTTCTTCAATGTCTTTTCTTAATAAATATGCCAATCTTATATGAGTTTTTAAATAATTTTCCTTGATTAATTTGTTATTAATATCAAATTAATAATGTGACATAAAACCTTCAATACTTTATATTACATCAGGATCACTTTTGAGTTTTCTTCTCTTTGTAATATTCTCCTTCGAATACATATTTTCATCTCCATCCTCATGATATGGTTTTACTAAATTAACATCTCTAGAGCCATCAAAGAGAAAGTCTAATTTTCCATTTGCAATTTTAATTGCTTATTATTATTGTTTAATTTATGGAGTTAGCATTTCTATAATTTTAATTTCCTCATCTATCTATGATATTTACTTTTACCTGTAAATTTGACTTACTTATCTTATTTATCTTGGTTGTTGGTTTTCTTTTTACTTTATTTTTATTATTAAGGTATTTATGATTGTCTTAATGAATCTTCAAAACTGATTTCTTTATTTTACATTTAGTTATTTAAATAATCATTAATTATTAACGTATAGATGTAATCCTAAAATGAATAGTTTTGCTAAGAAATGAGATAACAATTATGCGAAATATAGAATAGAATAAATAGATTATTACCTTAAAGAAGTATCAGTCCAATTAATAGCCAAACTTCATCTATGATGTCAGATAAATCATAATAATCGACACAATCAAGTTAGTTCATTAAACTCTAATAAGAAGATGATATATAAAAGAATATAGCTAAGATTAACAACATGATAATGGAAAGAAGATAAAAGACAGAATAACTGCTAAAATATTAATATTGATATTTATTATTATTTAGATTCATTTTCCTCCTTTAGATACTTAATATAAATCTGTTCTCTTTTAAATTGATGTTGGTATATTCTTTCTAATCTAATCAACAAGAGATAAGTTTATTTCTTATATTAAAACTGCAGGATCTGATCCACATGTTGCTAGTACTCTTCCCATAGGATCAGTGATAATGGAGTGACCCCAAGTTTAATAATAATCTGGATCATCAGAATAATATCTTGCTGCTTATGTACTTGCAACAAACACTTAATTGTCTAAAGCTCTTGCTCTATTTAATAATTCCCAATGTAAAGGTCCTGTAGTTTAATTAAATGCTGATGGGAATGACAATACTTAACATCCTTAATCTCTCATCACTTAAGAAAATACAGGAAATCTGATATCATAACAAATACCAAGACCGTATCTTCCATATTATGAATCAAAAATACAATAATTATTACCTTATCCAAAAGTATTAGATTCAAAATGAGTAATTCCTCCTGGAATATCTACATCAAATAAATGGCATTTTCTATATTAACCAACAAGTTTTCCATCATTAAATGCCAATGCAGCATTAAATAATTTACCATCTGCCACTTCTGGTAATCCACCAATTATCATGATTTATAAGTCTTCTGATAACTATTACATTAGATCATATGTTTCTCTATTATTTTTATCTGAAAAATCTTCAGCATTCTTCTTTAAATGATTTGTCTCAAAGACAGTGTTAAAAAACTCTCCTAAGAATATCACTTTGCACTCTTTTTAAACACAATCACGAATTTATGCAGCTACTCCCTCAAGTATTTTTTATTTTGTTTCAAATATTGCATTTTATATCAATGCCACCTTGTATTTTGTGAGAATTTACATAAAATTTTAATAATAATTCATCATTTTTTGTTTAATAATTTATAAATGAGGTTTCTTTTTGTTTTAAGATATAGAGATTATTATTATATGTAATAATCTATCTTAACTTCTGTAATTATTATTGCTGGATCTTTGTAATATTAAAACAGTACTTTAAATATAGGATCTAGGAATATTTAATTGTTCCAGAATCAGTATAGATTAATTAAATTTTATATTTGAAATTGACATTATTCAACATTCCCTTATTATAATGGATATCATTGCATATTCTCTTTATATCAAATATTATACATTTATTAATCCTTAAAATTTATGATCATTTTGGATATCTTTTTTTGATATTCACTTTCTTACTATTTATGATATAATAAGTTATTTATAATTTACTAATAACTATGTTATATACTTCTCAAATGGTTTAGAATTGAATCAAAGTATTTTAGAGATTCCAATAATAGAACGAACTTTTTAAGATTAATTATTAATTAATTGGAAAACGATAAAAATATTTATATACTTAACAGCTGTAAAAATCATCTATTTTCTTTTATTCTTCTCATTCGATTGAATAAATGCGATCTCTAACGTTAGCTAATTTGAAATCAAAAACTAATATTTGTAATAATAGTATTTTATAGAAGAGATAGATCATGTTTTGAGATTTATTTGTTAATTTTATTGATAATTTATTGAATAGTATTTAGTAAAATGATTTATTTTTGACATAAATCATTAAACAAATGATTAAAAACTTTCTTCATTCTAATTCAGTATTAATTCATAGGATAATCATTAAATTTTGAAAATCTACTAATATTATGTATTATAACTTCTTCCTTCTAAATTATCTAAATTCTCAATCTCCTTATATAGATATTTAACATCTCTTTGATTAGTAAAGAGCAGCTATACAAATATGAAACAATAAAGAGAACTACCAAATGTATTTTTATGATTAAATGTAATTTATAGCTTGTAATGATCTGGAAACTTATCTGAATTAATTATTTTCAACTATTTTAATCGAATATCTTATGATGGATAATAATTCATTGTCTAAGATTTAAAAGGAAAACTATGATCAGCAAAGTTTTTTCTAAAAAAGAGAAGTGGGCACTTTTAATAATATAACAACTTTTGTGATTGATCAATAAGAAGAATAATAAATTGAATAAAGACCTTTATAAACTCCAAATTAAGGATAAGAATAGTCAATGCTTTCTATTCCAGAATAAGAAGAAGAGGAAGAGAAATTATATCCATATTATTTGGGTTAAAATCACTATTGCATATCAAAAATATTCTTTGCACATCTTACTTCTTATTGTTTGTTTTTAAAAAGAAATATATTAGATAAGAATGAAAAAATATGTGATAAACATTTACCAAAGTTATCAGCTTCAGAAAATATAAAATAGACTATTGAACAATCTTTATAGAAATTAAAAAGAATTCCTTAATTGCATATCTACGATTTGGTAAAACTTGTATTTTTTGGAGAATTAAAATTCTTAAGCTTCATCAGTTGTTTGTCATATTGCTTTGAAACTATAGCAAAGAATGGAATTTCAGTAATAATGAGCTTATTAATTACTTCTGTTTCATAATAAGACATGAATAGTGCATATAAATATGCTATTGGATACATTCTTTTAAGTTTAATTGGAATTATCTTTAAACATCATGGATCTAACTTTTCTATGGTATTTTCATCTAAAGCTAGAATGTTGTTAGTAAATTTAGTATTTATTAAATTGACTGAACTAAGTTCATCTTCAATAAAAGAAGCTAATATTGGTAAGATCTTAAATCTTATATCAGGAGATATTAATTAACTTGAACAAATTCTTTATATGATATTCTAAAGTAGTGTGATTTTTCTTTCTGTTGGAATAGGTTGTTATATTTTATGGATTAGATTTAATGGGGCTATTGGTATTCTTGTATTAGCAATAGTCTTTTTAGCATACCCAATTTAAATTTCTTTGCAATCTTTCAATTCAGAAACTTTGAAATAATCTAAACAATTTTAAGATAAACGTTTGAAATTAACTAATGAACTTGTTGAAGGTATAAGATTGATAAAAATGTATGCTTGGGAAGAAGCATTTTATCAAATGATATCTATTATTAGAAAAAATGAATTCAAATGCTTACTAAAAATAGCAATTCGCTCATCAATTGATCGATTATTTACTATAATTTCTTAGATATGGTCAAGTTTAATATTCTTCATTATTCTTCATTATAGTGGATATCGTGAATCGATGAATGTTGCAGAAATGATATCAACCTTACAATTATTATCTTTTTTTAAAATCAGCTGCGTTTTAATGGTATCATATGCAATTTAATCTGTTATATTAGTAAAAATATCTTTTGAAAGAATTGTGAACATTCTAAACATCAAAAATCGTGAGATGGAAAAGGTTAAAGATGATCAAAATATCAATAATAACCTTTAAACTAACACAAATTCTTTTAATTCAAGAATATAGTTTATCGATTTTGATGGATATTGGACTAATCCAGAAATAATAGATTCTAAACCAATTTTAAAGAAAATTTCATTAAATTTTTAAGATGGAGAACTTTGGGCTATTGTTGGAAAGGTTGGAAGTGGGAAATCTTCATTATTAAATGCTTTATTATTTGAAATGCCATTTTATAAGGGTTAATTTATTTTAGATGGAATAGAAGCACAAAAGGGAAAATTGAGTATTGCTTATGTTGAATAAGAACCATATGTATTTCCAGGAACTGTTAGAAACAACATTTTGTTTGGTAGACCTTTTAATAAATTATTATATTAGAGAGTTATTCATGCCTCTTAATTAGAATAAGATTTATTGTAGATGAAATCTCATGATTAAACAGAAATAGGGGAAAGAGGGACTACACTTTCTGGAGGGTAAAAGGCTCGGTTATCATTTGCAAGAGCATTATATTAATAGGCAGATTTATATTTATTGGATGATCCTCTTTCTGCAGTAGATGCTCATGTTGCTAGGAATATGTTTTAGACAGGAATTAAAGAGTTTATATTTGAATATTAAGTTATGATGAATACTAATAAGAATAAACCTATTGTAATTTTAGTTACTCATTAAATTTAATATGCTGTTGAATGTGATAAAATAGCAGTTATGTAAAATGGAGAAATATAAATGTCTGGTACATTTGAAGAGTTATAAACAAAATTAGATACAAATAATAATGATATAGCAGGATAATTATGTTAATCTCCATCTCCAAAATAAAAATAATTTAAAAGATCTATTATTTCTCATAGATCAAGAATTAGAAATGCTAAAATTAATTCTCTTATTGTAAAAGAAGCTGATTCATAAAGATTAACTAATCTAAATACATATATAAAATACTTTAATTATTGGAAACTAATAATCTTTATTTTAATATTAAGTTTGGAAACAGGTTCAGAGGTCTTAATTATTTTTTATTCTAGAATTATTTCCTTATTTTAATATTATCAAGAACATAATTCTATTGACTAAGCTTATCTACTTTTGGGTTTATTGACTCTTGGATTATTAATCTGTAATTCGATGAAATATATATTGAATTCTTTTTAAGTCTAAAATACAACCTAAGAAATACATAATAATATGTTAAATTCTTTAATTAAAGCTCCTGTTTCATATTTTGATGTAAATCCATCTGGTAGAATTATAAATAGATTTTCTAATGATTTATCCTTATGTGACTATTCAACAAATACAGTCATTTTAGATGTGCTTGAAATTATAGGCTATTTCTGTTTTGCACTAGTAACCTTGGCCATCCTTTAACCCTTTTTCTTAATAATGATAGTTTTCATAATTTTAGTTGATTGTTATTAATATAATTTCTTGAAGAAGATAATTAGTTAATTGAAAGAATTAGAATTGATGTAGAGAAGTCCTTTATTTGATTTTCTAAAATAAACACTCTCTGGAATAACTCAAGTCAGAGCTTATGATTAAAAAGAATGGTTTAGAAATCAATTTTTAGATATATCAAATAAATGCAATTTAAATTCTCTAACATATTAATATGCAACAAGATGCTTTGGATTTAATTTAGATATTGTAGGTTGGATTGCCTAAACTGTAGGAATATTTCTATTTTTATATTTTTATGATAATGATATTGCTATACTAGCATAAGGTATATTGATGTTGACAACTTATAATGATGGATTATAGTATGGATTAAGATAGTTGATAAATTTAGAGACTTAGATGAGTTCTTATAATAGAATGTTTTAAGTCATTGAAATTAAACCAGAAGCTCCTCATCAAACTAAACAAGATGAACTCTATCCAGACTTTCCAAGAAATGGTGATGTAACATTTGAAAACATACATATGTAATATAGGGATAATTGCCCTTATGTTTTGTAAGGACTCACTTTTAACATTAAGAGTGGAGAGAAGATAGGGTGTGTTGGTAGAACTGGAGCTGGCAAATCTTCAATTTTATAAGCTATCTTTAGAATGATAGAAATTGATTAAAGTTATGATTCAAAATTAGAAATTGCTAATATTGATATATAAATCTTAGGATTACATAAACTAAGGAGCAGCATTGGTATTATACCATAATCTCCTTTCTTATTTTCAGGAACTATTCGTTAAAATTTGGATCCATTGAGATAATTTAGTGATGATGAGTTATGGAAATCTTTAGAAGATGCTAATTTAATTAATTATATCATCACTTTACCAAAGGGATTGGATTCAGATATAGATAATGTCAATTCTGTATTTTCTGTTGGTCAAAAACAATTGATTTGCTTGGCCAGAATTATATTATCTTAAAAAAAGATAATAGTATTAGATGAGGCCACTGCAAATGTTGATATGCAAACAGATGAATTTATTTAAAATGTCATTAAAAGAAAATTTAAAAATTCAACGTTAATTACTATTGCTCATAGGTTAAACACTATTGCAGATTATGATAAAGTTATGGTAATGTCAGATGGAAAAGTTATTGAATTTGATTCTCCATTTAATCTTTTAGCATTATCAAATGAATCAACATCAATTGATAAACGCACAGAGTTTTCAAGATTAGTAGTAAACACAGGAGATGAAAATGCTTAATAAATCTTTGATATAGCAAAATAATCTCATATAATGGATTGATTAAAGAATTATATAATTTTTTAAGTTTTCTTAAATTTATTATATATTTATTATTTAAAATTATGATTATCAATCCAAAAAAATAAATAAATAATTAGAATTGAATTCTGTTGTTCGTTTTCACTTGAAAAAAATAAAAATTATTTATATAATAATCAGAATTTCAACAAAGTTTATATCAAATAAAATGATATAATTTACAACTTTTAATAATTGTTGAAATTTATAAATATTTTATTCCAACTAATTTATCAGAAATTATTAGATCAGAAATTATCAGGTTTATTAATTATTCAAAATGATTTAGTTAAATTCTCATAAATTAACTAAATGAATAATTTTAAATATCAAACTTTATGCTATAAACATAAAGGATAGGGAATTACTTTGGAATCAGACTTATCTAAATTAAAAAATAAGATTTAATGTTAGAAATGTCTTGCAGAATAAAATTAGAATATAGATAGTCTCGATTATCAATTTAGATAACAGTAACCAAATTAAATCAAAACTTAAACCTTTACGATAAGCTATGATAAAAAACCATTTTCATACGTCTTACAAGCTAAATAAACAAAAAAATAAGATGAAAATTGTTATGCTATTGAATTTAATAATGATATGACGTTACTGATTGTTGGATGTAATAATCGCATAAAAATTTATTAATTCAATTAAGAGAATCTCAAAGAAGTTTAAGCTCTTTAAGGGCACAAAAATAATGTAACAACATTAAGTTTTATGAGCAAATCAAATGACATTATATCTGGTAGTGATGATTAACAAATAATTTTGTGGTAATATGTTAAAGAATTCTTATGGAATATCACTTAGAAAATTATAGGCCATTCAGGATAAATTAATTGTGTAATAAGAAATAATAATGATGATCTTATTATTTCTTGTAGTTGGGATAAAACGATTAGATTTTGGATAAAATAGAGCGAATGGGAATGTTAGTAAATAATATCAGAACATACTGGTTCTGTTTTTTAATTAAGTCTGAATTTAACTTAGAATAAATTAATATCATGTGGAATTGATTAATTTATTCTAATAATGGAATTATAAAGTTAAGATAAGAAATGGATAGTGATGAAAAAGATTTGGACAAGTTTTTATGGAAATAGGTTGTGCTTTCTTAATGATAAAGTCTTTGCCTTTCAACCAGATAATAAGGAAATCACTCAAATATATGAGATTAACAATACAAAGAAGCAATATGATAAAAAAAATGAAATTGTACTTTAAGGTAATTATGATGGAAGTATGTTATTCCCATAAAAATTCATTAAGGAAAAATCGTTATTAGTTAATAAATATTATACATTTGTGAATCTTATGAGATTGGATGAAGACGGAAAGTTATTATCAAAATTTATAATCGAGTTTAATACATATGGTATTTTCGGTACAATAAGTCCTGATGGGGAATACTTGATCACTTGGAATTACAAAACCAAAGAAATTGAAGTGAGAAAGTATAATGATTGATTTTAATTTTATATAATTTATTAATATCTTTTGAACTAATAAAAAAAGGATTAATTATAATAAGCTCAAAAAAAATCCTAACTAAAACAACTCACAATTATTGATGATAAATTGTAAAATAGTTTAACTGGATTAGATTAATTTTTAAATTGATTATGTAATTTATATTTCACAGATATCAAATCAGTTTCATTTCGTAGTTTTTTATAGTTTAACCTTCAACGATTTAAAAAATCTAAAAGGATGTTGAAGTCGCTAATAATCTAATTTATGATTATTATATTATTGTTCTTTCTAGAAACAAAGAGGATTTTACTACATTGGATCGTTGTTATTTACATATTGCTGTTCCTGTTTTGTAATCTGGATAACTACTTTGTAAAATTGAAATGGAAAATGTAAGATCATTTATAAAACATTACCATATTATGGATACTGATAATTTTTTTATTGAAGAATCAACAGATATTAGTTGATCAAAATTAGGCTACAAAGAGATTCCTAATTCAGATATTTCAATTTTATTTTGCAAAGTCTGATCAGATGAATATTATGTGGATTATAAATATTTAGTTCCAATGAAAGCAGGCACGGTAACTGAATCAATAACAGAGTTACTGCACTCCTTAGGAACTCCATAAAATAATTAAAAATTTCTAATTGCCCAAGATTCATTTTCAGCGAGTTCATCTAATGAAGTTGTCATAACCAAATTTATATTAGGCTAAACATGACTAAATTCAAAATCTAAATTTTTTGTATAAGCTTCTTTTTAATTTGAGCCACAAATTACTTGCACTCCATTTTATCCAAATTATACTTAATAAACTTGAATTCCATTAGCAAATACTTTAAACCATTCATTATCCCAAGTTTCAAATTTCCAAAATTCTAATTAGACTCTTATTTTTGTGTGTTTAGGAAGATCAAAATTTAATCCTATTGAAGCATCTTTGCCTAATAATGAGAATCCTCCTAATAAATTTGTATTAGAACAAATTTAAAATGGAGATTAATTATTATATACATTTGATATAGTCCAACCACTTTAAGTTTAAAAATCAGAGGGTTGGAAATATTGTTTTTAAGCCAAAATCCATTTTACTAAAATATAGTTCAAAGTATACCATCTACACATTCAGAATTATGTAAAATATATCCAGTTTTGCATTATGAACAATTATTTATATATGGTCCAAAACAAAGAAGACATGTTTAATAACATTTAACTAAAAATAATCTAAATGCTCTCAATCCCCAAGATCCATTTGATGAAGGTAAATTAGATTTCATCTTAATTTGCATATTATTTGATGTATGAGATCTCACCAGACGAATGTTTAATAACTGTTCTCCTCCACTACTATCACCACATAATTGAATAACTCCTTCTTAATTGAAAACTGCTTATCCACTAACTTACCCATCGATTTCTATTTAAAATTAGTTATTATTCCATATATCAAATTTCCATATCTAAACTTGTAAGATTATTTTATAATGAGCATCCAAAGAAGTATAATATTTTGATAATTATTTACTTCCTGTTATTGAATTAACTCCTCCTATTATCCAAATGTTAGCACATGAGCTTTACGTAAGAAACTATTAATTATCAAGAGTCCACCCATCAAAATTAAAATTATCAAACCAGTTCATTTCGACTAATAAATAATACCAGCATTCATCAGGAGTATCATTATTGCACAATAAACAGCCTGGTGAACAGTATTATGCCTCTACCTTAAAATTTCTAAATCCCCATGATTCCTTAATAAATCATTCAAATACTGTATATGGAATTTCATCTAAATTAGTTGTAATAATAACAACAAGTGTTGGTTCTTAGTGAGAAAATTCGAATACATAATTTGTTTTAACTTCTCTCCAATTTTATACTTGATCTGGATTACCACAGATCACATCTCCAGTATTCCAATACCATGTAGCTGTTTATACATAATCATCTAGTATAAAATATACAAATTCATCATCCCAACTATCTATTCTATTTCTAATTATTATTAATACTTCCAAAACTCTAAAGAAACACGTATTTTATAATGAGGTGGTAGGGAAATTATTTTTGAAACACTAACCCCAGATCCAAATGCGTTATAACCTCCAAATAATGACTCTGCACCACAGAAGCTAGTTAATTATCCACTATTTCCTTATACCCACCAACCTAAATAAATTCGAATAAAACCTTCGTTATCAACTATGTTATTAGAAGTGAAAGCGCTATATTAGACAATCCAATACTCATAAGCATTTAATGAAATTAAACATAATATCAGTGCAATGAATCTCATCAAAATGTGTAAATACTATAAAAATTAACTTAATCATGCAATCTTGAATTAAATAATTCAAATTCTTGTATTAACGTTCTAAATAGATCCCCATTTCAATTTTATAGAGGTTTCTTCTTAGTCTTTTCAAGAGATTTATAGTCTGAAAGGTTTTATAAGATAGGCAAATTTGATGTATCTTACTTAATAACAAAAATCAATTATTTATTATTTAACAAATAAAAACTCATTTAGAAATATTCTCACCATCATCATCTATGATCAATTTTAGTTGCTTCCTTTTTCTTTTTTATTCATCAATCCATTTTGAATAACAGAAAAAAAGTATTGGTTTAATATTTCGAAATTGATATCTGTTATAAATAAAATATTTGAAATAGCAATTTAATATGAAATATTATAATATTGAATTAATTAAAAAAAATTTCATATTATCATCTAATTTACAATCAAAATTTCATGCAATGGACTGTCCAAAAAAAATAATATTACATCGTTGATGTAATATTTTAAATTAATTTAATCCATAATTGAAGCATTCATTTTTTCATCTATGATAGCAAATATTGTGTCTCTTATATCAAGCTTTTAATGTGAGGATTTTAGTTCAATTGCATTAAATTCCTTTATCATTATTTTTTCGTTTTTTCTTTATTCAAAAACAATATCCTTTTTAGATTTAAAAACTAAAGAGATCATACTTCTCTAACATCAATATCACTTGATCAATAAAATATTGAAGATTTTTATATTTTTTAAAATTCAATTGCTACCTTTATATCTTAAAATAGAAATTTAAAATAAAAACTTTGTGTAAATAGAGTGAAAGAAATCTTGAAAATACCTTGTTTTAAGCATCAAGGATATTATTTACTATAAGAGACAACTTAATATTTTTTTGATACCAGATTGCACTCTCTATAAGAGCAATAAAATTTAGAAAAAATTTAGAAATTAATTCATATTAATAAAGTAAAACATAACTGTTATATAGGAAGAAAATAACCAGAATATCTACTTACAAAATTGGATATCAACTAATAAATAAACAATTATTTTTTTTAATTTAGTCAATAAGATGCAATTTTTTTCACTAAGGAACTTAAGGAAATTTAATAAAAGATCCTAGAAATGCAAACCACTTTAACAAAACTATTTTAGGAACTTAAATTATTTGCTTATAAAAAGCAAGATTGATAATAAAAATCAGAGGTGATTTATATTCAGTATTAATTTGTTATATCAAGATCATTAAACTTGACCAATTAAAGGAAAATAATAGTAGTTTGAATTAATTAGTTGATACAATAAATCCTTAAGCTATTGAAAAAAGTGAATAAAACTTACGTCAGTATATACAAGTTTAATTTAAAATAATGGGGCTGATTTAAATAAAAAACTTCGTCGTGTTTTAGATTAGAAACATAATCAAGTTAAGGATTTGAAAGAAGAGAAATTTCTATAATTTAAAAAATTTGGCTAATTATATCAAAAAATTTCAGAATGGCATTTTAATTTAAATAAATGGATAAATACAAAACTATAGATAATGATTTAAACTAACTTATTGAAATCATAATATTTATCAAAAATATAAGATAATATTTAGATTAAACAGGTAAAAAATATCAAAAGCTTAATTAATTTATTAAGGAGCTATAGAGGGCTTAAATGCAGAAATTTTTTTGAGAAAGTAAATGGTAACAGCAATTTGTTGTTTTTATTTAAATCTATCAAAGAGCCTATACTACTTGCAAATGGGTTAAAGTGGATGTTAATTATAAATATTTTCCAAATGATTCATGTTCTTCATTTTTGTTCTCATAAACTCATGATTAAATTTATTCTTTGAAATAAGAGAGTAAATAATACGCCATCTGCTGTCATTAGGACTATCCTTTAGCTTTTGGAGNCCTTTATCATTATTTTTTCGTTTTTTCTTTATTCAAAAACAATATCCTTTTTAGATTTAAAAACTAAAGAGATCATACTTCTCTAACATCAATATCACTTGATCAATAAAATATTGAAGATTTTTATATTTTTTAAAATTCAATTGCTACCTTTATATCTTAAAATAGAAATTTAAAATAAAAACTTTGTGTAAATAGAGTGAAAGAAATCTTGAAAATACCTTGTTTTAAGCATCAAGGATATTATTTACTATAAGAGACAACTTAATATTTTTTTGATACCAGATTGCACTCTCTATAAGAGCAATAAAATTTAGAAAAAATTTAGAAATTAATTCATATTAATAAAGTAAAACATAACTGTTATATAGGAAGAAAATAACCAGAATATCTACTTACAAAATTGGATATCAACTAATAAATAAACAATTATTTTTTTTAATTTAGTCAATAAGATGCAATTTTTTTCACTAAGGAACTTAAGGAAATTTAATAAAAGATCCTAGAAATGCAAACCACTTTAACAAAACTATTTTAGGAACTTAAATTATTTGCTTATAAAAAGCAAGATTGATAATAAAAATCAGAGGTGATTTATATTCAGTATTAATTTGTTATATCAAGATCATTAAACTTGACCAATTAAAGGAAAATAATAGTAGTTTGAATTAATTAGTTGATACAATAAATCCTTAAGCTATTGAAAAAAGTGAATAAAACTTACGTCAGTATATACAAGTTTAATTTAAAATAATGGGGCTGATTTAAATAAAAAACTTCGTCGTGTTTTAGATTAGAAACATAATCAAGTTAAGGATTTGAAAGAAGAGAAATTTCTATAATTTAAAAAATTTGGCTAATTATATCAAAAAATTTCAGAATGGCATTTTAATTTAAATAAATGGATAAATACAAAACTATAGATAATGATTTAAACTAACTTATTGAAATCATAATATTTATCAAAAATATAAGATAATATTTAGATTAAACAGGTAAAAAATATCAAAAGCTTAATTAATTTATTAAGGAGCTATAGAGGGCTTAAATGCAGAAATTTTTTTGAGAAAGTAAATGGTAACAGCAATTTGTTGTTTTTATTTAAATCTATCAAAGAGCCTATACTACTTGCAAATGGGTTAAAGTGGATGTTAATTATAAATATTTTCCAAATGATTCATGTTCTTCATTTTTGTTCTCATAAACTCATGATTAAATTTATTCTTTGAAATAAGAGAGTAAATAATACGCCATCTGCTGTCATTAGGACTATCCTTTAGCTTTTGGAGGAGTTCGTGAGACAAGAATAAATGCTAATTTTCAAACTGGCTATTCTATCTAGGACATTCATAAAAGTGGGAAAAACACTAAAATGTCCAAAGTGCTCAGTGTTTCGGTTAAGTTCAGCCAAATATTCAGGAATGTTTAGTATTTGAACTTATATTGATTTGAACTCAGGAGGTATTTGAATTAAATACACATTTGATATCCTAATTACCAAAAATCAATCCATTTAATGAAATTAAAAAAAGTACTTTCTTTGAAAACATCTAAATTTTTTCTAAATAAATACTTTTTAATAAATTGATAATTTTTTTTCTCAAATATTATCACTTTAATCAGTATAAAGGTTATTAAAAAATAAAGTAGAACTTAATATCAAAATTATAAGCTTCCATCCTTATCACATTACTTTCTCCTTCTAAAAGAACAAATTAACAATAAAAAGAAATTTATTTATACCTTCAAGATATAATTCTACAGTCTCTTTTTCGTATTCGGTGGAGCTTTCATTTTTCGAAAGAATTAAAAAAAGAATTAATTGAATACGGTTTATACTTTATTACAGATGTGATATTTGATATTATAATTTTTACAAGTTTTTGATAATATCTTTCTTATAAAAATAGAGTATCTTAATTCCTTAACTATAATTGTTCTAACAAATTTGAACAACTGTTTCCATGTTTAGGAATAATTTCTCTCATCTTCCCTTAATTTTTGTTGAGTTCTTATGTTATTTTTTTAGAAAAAAATTGATTTCCTGTATAGTATTATAAAAGATTAACCAGGTAACAACATAAAAGCTTTAAATTAATATAAATTATAAATCACTTCGTAATTATTAAGTTAATTATCTAAATTTGCAAATAACAAAAGACATTATTATTATTAACTCTTGATCTCTAAGTATCTTGAAATTTAAATTGAGTTTTATTTTCGATTAGGACATCTTTAGCAAACAATATTTTACAAATAAGTTAATAAATTAATTCATATAAAAGTTATTGATTGATTGATATATCCTATTAATCAACTATACAAAAAATTAATCATTAAGTGTATAGTTAAGTTCTGGTATTTATAGCTCGCAAGTGTGATATCAATCTAATTGTATTTTTTGACAATTTATGTTTTTTTTTTAAATCACTCTTGGGTTTTTTAAGATATTTGAAATATTTATTTTTTTCAAGCTTTGATTTTGTTAATGAAAAACACAATCAATATTACTGAATTGAATTATTATTATTTATCTTTCATGGTGGATGATTTTATCCTTAGTAGATGCAACTGGTATGATGCATTTGGAACCGACTCTATCATGCATTAAAATTTGAAAATAATAATTTATTAATTGTAATTTTTAGTTAAAAATTATAGATTTAAATAATTTAAATTATTATTATTTCAAATTACAATATTATTTGTTAGTTTACCATTAATGTACATTTTATGGTTTCTTCAAAATATTTCACTTCATTTATAAAACTTGATATTTCTTATTCATTAAAGTATATTCTAATTTATTATAAATTTATTACCTATATTTAATCACGGCTTAATCCTGAAAATTCCTTTTTAAAGATGCATTATAAATTAATAGTGAGTCTTCAATTATTATAATTTTGATATCATTATTTGCAATATCAATTTAGCTAATTATAATAGTTAATAACCTCTTCATTTTTCTCCATCTAATTTTTTGTTATTTCTATAACGCCATTAAATCATTAGGTTAATATTTTGAGTTAATTGCCCTGAGTAAAAATACTGTGCTTGGATTTTAATGTTTTAAGGATTAAATAATCAATGGTAACTTAGATGAAATAAGTGCCAAAGGTTAATTAAGAGATCTGAATCAATACATTCTAAGTTTAATAAAGGGAAGCTAAATTTAGTCAAAAATAATTGAATATTAGATTTAATAACACTAATAGTTATTATAGGAATAGATTTCTTAACCTCAACATACTCCGCAAAGAAATAAGTTAGGTTTTAAAACTTCGAAAAAACCAGAGGATTAATGAATTAAGGATGAAAGAAAAATAGTAGAGTATATGAAATAATATAAGGGAAAAATACTAAGATTTGAAATTCTCTCATGAACTATTATATATTTGGGATGAATGTTGATAAAATATTTTAGAGATCAGTAGACCTTATTCAAATTAGTACCACGAGCAATGCTTTATGGTGCTCTTGGTAGAAATATTGAGTGAATGAGTCATATTTAAATCATTTAATTTTGAAAATTATTATATTTATATTTTTTCTACTTATAGGAAAGATAATTATCATAATTCACATTGAAATTGATAAGAAATATAATTTTTTTAAGTTATGATCGAGATAAATCAAACCTTAGCATTTTTAATTTTATTTAATAAAACGCTAGCAGTTTTTTGGATATTTTTTGAATAAAAGAATTAAAAAAGGTTAATCAATTACCCCCCATATCTTTCTACCAATTTATACTCCAGTTTATCTAGTAAACCAAGAAAGAATTACATTTATTATCATAAAGTCTTCTAAAAGATTCCATAGCTTTCTCTCACAATAGTAAGCATAGTCAGATACTTATTCCATAAAATGAATTACTTCATTAATCTTATAAGGTTAATAAATTTCATAAGTTACTTGAAAAAACATCATTTTTATGAATAAATATCATTCTCCCTTAGATTACTAATGATTCTATTATAATTTTATTTCTTTCTTCTGATAATCCAGTATAGGAGACTAATTTTTCGACCTCATCCTCATTATTCCTTTCATAAGTGAAGTCATATATATAATTTATTCTGTGGCTTATTTCTAGTATAACAAATCAAAATTATGATTTATATATACTGTTCATCCCTATAACAATTACATACCTACTTCAGATACATAAATCTCAACTCCTTTAACTAATAGCTTAGATACTATGTTATTAAGTTTTAGCCTAGTTTTGTATTTTTTATTTATAGAACTTGAAGGACAATTAATTAAAATCGAAAACCCTAAATTATTGTGAGATTTATGAAGTTTAAAGAACTAAGCTTTTGATGTATTAAACATTAAATTATAGCATAAATAAAGATTGATTCATTTTCAGACCAATTTTATACGTTTATTAGCTTATTTCTAACACCTCTTTTAATTAATGAATATTAAGTCTTATAAAAAATGTAAATGATTTATTTGAAATATTTCCAAGTATGGAGATACTATATTTTTTGAGCCAAATTTTTCACTTAAATGATTTAATTATTTTAATAAGGTATCATTTTTTGAATCTTGATCTATTTGATAATGAATTAGTTGATTTCAAAATAATTTTGATATACTTTTTTTTGAACATTTACTTATTAGGAATAATAGAATAAAATTTATTATCAATGTTTCCTTATTGTTTTGATTTTTAAAATTATATATTTTGAATAACATAAATAAGTTCATATTAAAATTAATCATTTTTAATTTTTCAGTATTGAGTGAGGTGAATGTTGTATTATGATTAACTTGAAGATTTAATTAAATAAATATAGAAAAGCAAAAATAATTTCTTATATTGTAAATTTATTTATCATAATATAAATACTTATTTTTTATAATCTCGATTCTTATTAAAACTTAATATAAAATGAGAATGATTTATAAGAAAATTTAACATTTTTAAATTTAATTAATGGAAAATCAGATCAATTCAACAAATCACATTTCATACGAACTCATTACATAAAAATAGCTTCCTTAAATTAGTTCTTGTAATGCTATTGCTATTGAAACTAAAAATTCAATAGTAGTCATTGCAGAAGAATCAAGAATAATAATATATTCATTCAAATATCATTCATTAAAAATAATTAAGTAATTCAAAATAAATTCCGGCAATATTAATACACTAAATTTCTTCAAACATAGATAAAACTTTATATCTGGATGTCAAAATTCATCTATTTACATATGGCCAATTAATATGATAATGACATCTAAATACATTTAAAAATTATAAGCAAATTCAGGTTCTACTCTTTGTTTGTGTATTTCTAAATCAGAGGATCAAGTCGTGACTGGACATTATTAAAATACAATCAAAATTTGGAGTTAGATTGAACAAAATTCATAAGAGTGGTCTTGCTTATAAAATTTAGTTGATCATACAGGAGCAGTTTATGGATTGTCTATGAGTGATTATTAAAATAAAATAATTTCTTGCTCAAATGATTAATAAGTTTTAGTTTATTAATTTTCATAACATTATTGTAAATGGATTTTACAATAAATAATTTAAAATGATGGTTTGCGTTTATGCTTTATTACTAATGATATCTTTGTATTTCAACCTTATGCAGCCAATTATCTATCAATATATGTATTTGAAGTTAGATCTTAAAAATTTATAAACACAGAAATAGTCTAGATTAAAGAAGGAGGTTAATTTTGTAATGAATTTTTTCCATGTATTTACAATCCAAAAAAAGGAATTATATTTACTAAAAGTAGTTACAATTTAAATATTTTAAATTGTAAACTTTAATAAGACTTTTTATTTCAAGAATAATAGCTAATTGAAATAATTTTAAATGATGCAATTGATTTTGGTGATGAATATTTTTGTGGATCAATAAGCGATGATGGGGAATATTTATTTATTTGGAATAATGAGTTAAAAGAAATATCAATAAGAAAGTATAAAGAGGAGTGATATCTATGCATTAAGACAAATTATAATGGATTTTCTTAATATTTCTTAATATATTCTTATAATAATAAATAGGAATTTTACATTTAAGTTTTACTTTGGTTTCAACTTTAATTTAGAGGATTTTGACTATGTTACTTATGGTAAAGAAAAATTTGAGCGTTCAATAAAATGTCTATGTCTATCTTAAGTGTCAAAGTATCTTTTACTAAACGCTTTAAATAATTTTCGTGATAATTACATCCATATGTTAATAAAGATTATTATTAGTTATCTTTCAACCTTAGTATATTAAAAAGAGGGTTTTATGTTTAAGGGTTTATCTTAAATTCATTATTTTGACATTTCAATTTTTTTTCATTCATACTATTTAATACAAACTATTATTCTGAATTATAAAAAATTTGAGATTAATCAATAAATTGTTATTTTCCCTTTATTCATTATAAATGTTTACCTGAATTTTTAAAGAAAATGCATACAATTTTATTTTAGATATGTTTAGAGCACTTGAATTTAAAATAAAGTTTAAAATGCAAATAAGCTTTCATAATTGTAGGTACACACATTTTTTAATGTGCAAATATCTTTTTCGAGATTTAGATTAATTTCTTTTTTAAAATAGGATTATGCTGCTTCGCATTAATTAAGTTGAAATAATGAAGAAGCAACCCATGAATTTTTTAATAAAAGACCTAGTGTATTATTATCTTTACCATTTACTGTCTATAAACTTTAGTCGAATTAGCTCAATTCAATTAATTGGCCTTAGGTTTCCTTAATATCAAAATAATGCCACACCTAAAGTTGGTACTTTTGTTAATGTAGGCTTCATCATTATTTGGATTAAGTTTAATTATTAAATCAACTAATTAACTCCTCAAAAATCTTTTGCACATTATTAATTAAAAGGAATTATCTATTAATAATTTTTCATGTGATAGAATTGATTAGATTTTCCTTTTAGTTCTTCTATCTTTAATATTAATTATTCTTTTATGAAATCTATGCTAATTAAAAACTTTTTGGTTAATTGAATCTATTGTTTTTCTTCCTATATAATTTTTCTTTTGATGTAATTTTCTTTACATAGTCAAGAAAAATTTATCAAATTCCAAAATATAATCGTGTGATTAAAGTAAAATTATTTCTAAATATTATATGCCAACTTAGTAGAACTACAATTTTACCTTTAACATAATCATTCATATTTTGAATTATTTTTATAATATTGATGTTTACAAAAGATTTAAATTAAATTAGTTTTGACTAAACCTCCCATGAAATTAAAAGTTTCCATCTTGCCTTGCGATACAAGAAAAAATTTAGATCCTGAGTTGAATAGATTATTTAACAATAAAAAAATTATTATCCTTCTATCTTCTAATAGGAATATCGTATAAAGAATACAAGGAGTTCTTGGCTATTTTGAATTCAATGTTGATATTTTCAAAATTTATTCATTTAGTATCTGATAGTTTTACATTTATTCTTAATTATTAGTGAATATGCAAATCAATCATTAATTATAAAATATAAATGTAATCCAAATTACTTTCCACCTATTTATTATTCTTCAATCGATTTTCTGTCTTCTACTGAAGTTTCTATGAAAAGTATTAAATTTTCCTCACTAAAATTAATTAATTTATTCTTTTCTTCATTACTACTTAATACAAAAACTCATTTCTTCTGATCATTAATATTCTGCTTACAGTACAATTAGTAATTTATATATCAAAACTTAATTGCTATATCATCACAACTTTGACAGCATCTTTAAACTGAAAAAGAGCGTCATTTCTGCTGGTTTGAACATAAATCAAATTTTTTTTTAATTCCAAACCTAAGTCTGGAATTAATTCATATCAAACTAAATTAAAAATTTTACTTAAAAACTTCTCTCACTTATGAAGTCAAATTATGAAAAATGAATTATAATAAGCAAATGCATACATATGATAAAATAAAAATACTTATATTATTAATTAAACTGTATAGCAAATAGTTTAAAAGCCATCTTTAGGCCAATCTTTGACTATTTGGATATTTTAACTCTTAATTCTTAATATTTTAATGGTGTTATTGAAGATGAAGTACAAAAGTGGTAATAAAATGTTCATGATTAGAAATAAAAATCGTTTTATTTGGTAATTCTTTCAGGAATATTTAATCCAAGTCAAGAAGTTTTCACTAAATTCAAGATTTAATTATAATAATAATTGTTATTATTATTAAACTAACTCACAAATACTTCACCTAGAGTTGATAATTCAAATCCATAATTCGATTAAGCAAACAAAAGTGTAAATGGTCTAATTTTAACCCAACAAAGTAAGTTTCATAAATCTTCCTATCTCTCAAATAGCTCCTGCTCTTCCTGTACTACTACTTGCACCTTCTATTATTACAAACATCTATTATAAATAAATAAATTTTACCTCAATGATTTTGTCTCATCAGGAGTGATATTGATTATCATTTCTATCTTCACTTTCGGAGCATCCGGTAATTTTACAAGTTCGGTACTTGTATTTTGGTCCTTCTTCTATTCAGGTGCTGGCTTTAAACACATTTACTCGTAAATGGAGTCAATGGCTCCATTGACTCTATCGTAGGATTCCTAATTATGGTTATAATAATCTTACATCCATAAATCGATCGAAGCTTTAGATGCACTGCTGAGTCAAAGTTCTCACTTGTTCTGTAAACTGTTCTACAGATAGCATTTATGGGAAATAAAAGATATTTTAATTAATGATTTATTTTTCTATTTCTATTACAATAAAAATAAGTATTAATATATATATATATTAGTATTAGTAAGTATTATTTATATTACTCTTATGAGATTTTAGTATTATTTATGTTAAATCTTTTGTGGAAATTATAATCATTTTTATTAAGACCTAATCATATATATATATACAAAAGAATCAGGTTCACAATTAAATTTTTGAGTTAAGTTTGTTCAGTAAGGAAAAAAAAAATTGTTTTAATTTTTGATAAGGCAGGAGCGCTGCTAGAAGGATGAAAAGTAGCGGAATTGATAGAGAATGATGAACTCTCCCTGGTATTCTTTCCAAGCATATAGAAAGAGTTTTTGGTACCTATGGCATAAGTCACAAATTAGATTCGTGGTGGTTTCAACGAGTGGGTGCTTTTTATTCGGCATAATTATAGTCATGAGGTGCGTTGTGGTGTATGCTCTCCTATTAATGTTTAATATGTCTATGTAATTATAGTAGTTATAGCAATTAAGAGCATATATTATGATAGTTATAACATTAATATTAATAATATATAAATAATGGGGAAATA